CTCCAGTGAAGCGATCCAACCAATTGTTGACCGTTGATCGGTGAGCAGTGCCAGCGCTGAATAAGTTGCTGATAATTTGAGCTGCTACACCTGCGTTTTTCCCTTGGCGTGCTTAGTAGAAGGTGATGGTACGAATCGGGTGTTGTCAATTCATTGACCGTAATGCTCTGAAAGCCCACAAGCGTGCCGTTATTTACTTATGTGTTAATTGCCTGAGGAATTTCCTACAAGTCTATCACCCTTGCTACCGTGTTCACACCGCTGATACAAATTTTCAACGCTTCAAGTTTTTTGTCGCAGGACTTATTTGCCAACCTAATATATTATTTCATGGCTTGTCGGTCTGTCCGTCCGCAAAACTTTGCGATTACGATAAAAGTAGTAATATGGAAAACCCAGCTCTATCCCACATTCCCTTTTTATGTGTAAAGCAGTAAATTGGTGGGTAGGTTAATGGAGTAGAGTGAGTACTGCGGAGTGATATAAGTGAAGTGGAGACTTCAAAACTGTGATTTCAGTCTGCAGTGGCATCGCGCTATGTCTGTTTATACAAAAATGGAGGTGATAATGCAGTTGAAAGACCTCCGCTTCTTATTCACCATTGAGCGTTATAGCGCAGATGAGGAATACTCACTACAGCTGTGCTCATTAAAGTTTCTTAACCGAGAACATACTGTTTTTCAACCTGAGCTTCAGGAGGGAAGGAGTACCGGGGTGGCTGATTCAATTGCATATTCAACTCAATCACTATCCTGGCTTTTTGCACGAGGTAAACATTTCACCCATACTCTTCCTGAGGCTGAGATTAAAACCATATTCTTTCGCCTAGATCTGTTCCTGAACCCGGGTAAGGTCGGCCATCCCTGCTTTGCACTGTAGCACTCAGTGTTGGATAGATGCTATGCCCCCTGAGTACATTTTTTAACTACTTTGCAAAAGTAGGGGATGTGACCCGGCTTAAGCCGGGCGGCCTGACTGGTTATTATTATGAGCGATAGAGGCTCTGTCATCCCCGTGTCTCTGTTGGTCCTTGAGTAAATGGGATATCCTAGGCTTGCCTTGACTCCTTGTTTACCGAACGTGGACTTATTGGTTAGTGCCAGTTGGCTGCGTTCGCTTCCGGTATAGCCATTTCTCCTTTAAAAAAAAGATTCGTAAAAATTGTGGTGTTTTCTCATGAGTTAGAGGCTTTGTGCTGCTATTGACGAAGGTATTTTAAGACGCAGGCGATGCGTCAACAAAAGCTAACAACGAGCCCATGATTAGGGCTCAGCCATACTCGCAAACAAGCATGCATACTTATACAGCCGTGAATAGGTGGCTTCCGTAATTATCTGCTATATATTTCATGTCAATGTGATTAGTATTAACGCTGTACCTGGAGCATGTATTAAAAACACAGGAAAGTAGTTGTGTAATAAGCTTTCTCCTTCTAGGACACTGTCCCATAACCAGAATTGTATATAACATCACCCAATACACTAAAGTTTTCCAGATCCCTCCTATACTCTCCTTTTAGCGAAACAGTCCCTTATTACAATGAGGATACTGGGCGTAAACCAAGGTCCGGACAGGTAACTTCAATCGTGTAGTGTATGCATTCATACTTGACGAACGACTCCTATAGTGCATAATCCCACGTATAACACACTTTACTTTACGGTAATTTGTATGAAAAGTGATAAATTTGTGTTTCTGATCAGAATGTGAAGGAGGGTTTATAGATGAGTGATGAATATCCCTCGACGCCGCAATGCATCGGCTGGCACATGTCGCTCTGAGCTTACACTTCCCATAATTGCAATACGAAAGGGCATCTTAAAAGTTTCATTAGTTGTGTCGACTTGACAAGCAAAGCGTGATATTGCAGCTCTTATTCATGTAATTGCACTCGACATCAAAAGTTATAGGCTCGATTAGCTGCAAAATCTTGAAAATCTATGGTTCGATAGTTTGTATAGACTGTGAAGTAAGAAGATTAGTGAAGGGGAAGTGAAGTGATGTGGACCTTATCAAAAAAAAACTGCCATTTGCTTCGATCAATAGCGGTGAGCGCTATCTCGATGAGAGAGCGCAGGCGAGCAGAAGGTAGCTTTTTCGCGCGGTATGCGTAACGAGGATGACCTGTCACTTCAATCATTCGCTGCGCATCCTATTTGGTCGGTAAATTTCCGAAAATTGATATCGTCAAGAAGTATCCCACCTCAGCTGCCGTTATAATAATGGAATAATCCGGTTTCAAATTGTGTGGTTTGACAACATATAGACTGGTTAAGCCCAGCTGAATAAGGAGCGGTTTTTTAAAATCTCAACAACACAAGGGTTCAATTACAAATTACTCCTCTATAGACTCCCTGGGGATACGCCAACTATTCCTCATCCTTTTGAATCGCGGTGGAAACCGAAAAAAAATCCATGCATTTCTAACCCAGTGCTATCGACATCGAATTGGCGTTGCAATAAGTGATACCATCGTATGGAAAAAAGGATGGATTCATACTTATTCCCAGTTTTTTCGCTTCACAAAAGAGATGGAAGAAGTGTCAAGGAAGTAGATGAGATGGCTTTCGTTATGGTAAGAAATTAAATGAAATTGACTGGGTAACTGTTCATTTTAGAATTTAGTGTGAACAGTGAATCAGCTATCACCATAAGCAAAGCTGGTGCCCAAAAAGCTAAACAGTTTCAACAGATTGACATTCAAATTCTATTACTCGTAAGTACCAATATCAGTAGTGGCGGTGTTGTGCTGATCTCTCCGTAATTCCTGACTTTTCTTCTGGTCGTGTAGGACCTGAACCACGAGTATACGGCTCTGCATTGCTTAACAATAATTCAACAACTGGGTGCTTCCATGATTGCTCAGGTTTCTCATTAGGCTCAAATATCGGCTTGTTCTAGCTCGGGAAATGGGAACAGCGAATGAATCCATTTACAGTCATGATCTAAATAGAATGACCGATTTTCATCCATTCCATATAAAACTGGAGGTTTCTTGGCACATTGATTCAAAGAAAAACAAATGTCTTGTCCTATGTTAATGCGGACTCAATCCTCCATGGAGTTCAACAGCTCTACCTTCCCGAAACCTCAGCGCTCCGATCCAGCTGACAGTCGGCTGCACCAGATGCCCCAATCACAACTCACGCACCATTGTACAGGCGGGAAAACTGATATTTGAATAATACGTGACGGCATCCATCGCATCAGAATTTGGAAAACAACTATTCAGTTGCTTTGCTCGTTTTTCATGTGACCGCTTTGCTCTGTGATTCGCGAGTCTCACAATCAGGCAGCAAAACAGCTGTCACCCTCACTATTCTCGTCCATGGGTGTCAATATGACGCTGTCGTCATGGAAAAAAGTGGGTGAATCTACTCGTTCGGGTCATTTTCCTTTTCCTTTCCTACTTTCCGTTTAGGTATATTCATATTTCATGAATACAAATTGAAGTTCTCACCTTGTCGACAAGATGACGTCGTCCTTATAGGTTTTCAAGGCTTCTCGCGCTTTTACATGGAAGAAGACCAATATGCACGTAGAAAGCCATCATGTTTGTAGGCCACAGGAGCCCCTATCGATTGTGGAACATGGGAACTATTTCTTTGACCAATAAATTGATTCCGAGTAGACATCTAACAATAAGATGCAATTATTGTTCGGGAAATCAATGCTTTGAATGCCTGGAATTCCATTTGCTGGAGGTTCCGTGAGATAAATTAGGTCCTCCCGCTTTTGAACAGCAAACTTCTAAGTTTTGGTTCCCTCATGTACTGTGGTTTACGATGATGTTATCGGGTGCGTTATAAAGAGACCAACTTCGCAGTTCTAGAAAATTTCATGACATCGTAATCGCAGTGGGGGACCTAGACTGAACTGAACAGTGGGGGACTGTTGTGGCACAAACTGCCAAGAAACTCTTCCAGGCACATGGCCCGTCCTCTTCTCAGGCCCTTTTTTCCTTTTCATTGTATTTGTGGTAGGTTTTTTTTTGGACATCTGACGTTTTTTTTCGCCGTCTTATGTCTCTGTTTAAGGGATTACTCTATCACATGCTCCTTTCGAACTGAAATGGTTATCGTGTTTATTATTGCAACCTGCCTAGTTTCTTTTACCTTCCACATACATGACCGCTGCTAATATGCTGTTGTACCTTGAGGCGCTGATGCTTGGAACATCTTTCTGCTTTCCTTCTTTCAAATACTCAATATTAGGGGAAGTTATGGAAAGTGGGAGAAATAATCGTAAGTCAAATATTACTCTTGTCGCATAGTACGATCACAACCAAGGGTTTTTGACGCATTATTCAAGAATCTCCGAAGAATATTCAATAAGAAGTGCTTTGATTCATGACTGACGGCTTGCCCCATGATAATGCGCCAGATTTCACTAATTCATATGTCTGCGTTAGGACCCGTTCGATAGAATATGAGCTCAGGACACGCGACTTCTCAATTTGTCTTCCTAATCTACGAGTGCTTTACCTTCTTTCAAATTCCGGATCCCATATATTACGACATATAGCTTTCATCGCATCGGGGTAATTTCCTACTTGTTTGGACTTAAGTTGATTCCTCTTAAAAACGGCTCTCATCTCATCATTTTCTCTCCTATTCTGTCCTACCATTAGCAGGATCCAACTGCCCTTTTTTGGGGCGTTGAATGGTGTCTTTTGAAAGGCAGTTTTGTAGCTCTGATTAATTAAGTAAAGGTGCACATATTTCAAAGAGGAAGCGGAAGCCTTAAGTGCTTTTTGTACATTAGAAAACGCTAATGTGAGGGGGTCTAATAGTCTCATGTCATACACTCAAAGTTTTCCACAAGTAGGAGTACTCAACTGATGGAAACTTTTCGAACTTTCTTCAAGGTAATCATAATGACCAGATCTTAGTAGTACACTGACGACATAATTTTTCTTCTGAATTGAATCGTCCAAAAATGGAATATAGAAAAGGTCCCTATTTTTATTTTTTGAGTTCGCCTAAAANAAAACCCTATCAGGAATCGACATCAACAATGGCATGTGGTCCCAGGCTTACAGAGGGGGAGGGGCAGAAGTCACCTTGAATTTATAGGCAGCCACCCGTTAGCCAACTTGCGGAGTTCCACTAGAAAGGAACTTGCAGGAGTCTTCTCTCCCATTTTCAATGGATAGAATATGATTTTACTCGATTTCATTTTTTATTGAAACATTGATTGGAGTCAGCATATTACTCAGGTACACGTAGCATTTATCTCCTATATCTTTGGTTGAGTGTCCAAATTTGATAAAATAATAACTTGATCAGCTACCTTAGATTTCTTATCTGAGCGACTGATCTCCGACCCCAACGATTCAAGGGATTGGCGCACTTGAAGCGATTAAGGAAACCCAGCCATAAAGCAGACTTGACCTTCATTACGGCTTACCCAGTCATTATCATAACAGGTGCAGGCTTCGGCGTTTCTTTGTCCAGCGTGTATGTACTTCGTTTTATCTACTGCTGTTATCGAGTCTCNCTGTTATTCGCACCATTCCTTAGAGTCAGATTGCCTTCGCTGATTTCCGTCCTTCATTCCACTTCGTATTACATTCATTAGTGTTGAGACGATGTGTTCCGCCCCCTTTCATTCTTGCCTGCCACTCATTTTCACTGCAGCTGAGGATCGTCTGTTAGCTATTGAAGAGCTGTCTTTATAGAATTTTTTTCCCGAAATAGGGGCAACAAATCGCTTTTTAGTCATGACCTTCTTCTGTTTCGTGGATTTGCTTGTATTTCGTGACGCACGCTAGTGAGTGCATTATCTCATTTTATGACGGCCAAGCGTTGGAGAAAAAGAACGCGGGAGGGCGGGCAAGCGCTACACTTAGCGATGATTTCAGACGAAGCAGAGCGCTCATCGAGTAAATGAATGTGCCCCCATACATCATTGCCCAGTTAGGTGAGTATTTTATTTAATTCGTTCTTGAAGTACTTATTTCTTCTCATCTATCTTTCTTGTTGTCAAGTAAAATGCGATTTTGACGTCGTTGTGCGTCAGAATGGCCTGATTTGCTGTGTTGCACGTTTTTCTCAGCCGTTTCGATAGCATTTGCAGTGTGCTATTCGTTTTAAAATACCCGGACGTGAATGATGGTTCGATTTCAAAACTCCTCTGGGAGGGCAATTTCACTGATGTGCTTATCATCAATATCCCTTCAACAAGACATTGCGTTTCAAGTTAGCCTGTCAGGCGTTAACAGCTAAGCACGGCAGGATTGAGTTGAAGTTAGATAAGAGCAGGGTGGTTGCAGTATGTCAAGAAGGAGCCTATGGTGGAGCGAATCCATTATAATCTCGTAATAATAGAAACAACTCAGTGCGTAATTTTTTTTTGCTCATTTTTTTCTTACTTCAGAGGTAACTGGTACCTCCACAGAATTTTCACCATCATCCTTTGAAGGTGAAACTTTATGATTTTGTACAGCTCAGTTCTCATGTAAGCCCTTTAGAAATAACTAGTATTAAGAAGAACTAATTACGAAGACGCTTGTGTCCTTTGCGGCCGTGCGGTTTTTTCCATCTGGAGGCTAATTAATTTAATTCTGTGTAAGGTACTGAGGGTTTTATCAGCTGGATTTAGTCTTTTTTCTTTTGTTGCACAAATTGATGTCGTTCGCTAATTCTGTCTTCCAAGCGGTTGTTTTCGTAGCAAAGGAATTATGAAATTCGTGAAAGTGCCAGCCTTGGCCATCTTTTTGCTTAGTTGTTCTGAAACATTACATTTTAGTCGTGAAAAGGGCTACGTATTATTTCGGCTACATTAGTGCTAATGAGAAGTGGACGCTATACGATTTTCAATATGTAACTCCTAGTTTGGATAGAGAGTAAATTGCTTGGATTCCGTCAATAGCTCTAGTCTGACGTAAATAACAACTTTTAAGCGGCGATCGAAAACGCATGCGTCAACACTAAACCTTTTGCAACCTTCAAATGTTCCTGTGGAAGGTGCTAGCTCCCTCCAATCGGCTTCATCTAGCGATTTCTCTTCCAGAAAAGGCTAATGACGTCATTAGACGGCAATCTGCTGAATTGGACCGACTTCGCTCAAGTGGATTGTCTGTCGAAAATGTGGCTTTACGCAATCAACTCATGCAAGTTGCTCAAGAATATAGGCGAGTATTACCTATAACTTGTTCATTATTCACCTATGTGTCACAGAAAGTGAGCTTTTTCTCGGCTGGCTTTCTCCCCTGTTCTAGCATGCATGTAAGCATGTAAGTTTGTTGATTATGGATGATTCCGAATAAGTTGTCAGTCATTTGCATTATGAAATTTCGCGTCTTCTACTGTATAATATGTATATGAACTAGGCTTGCAGCGATGTATTTGTAAACATTAGGCTCTAAATACCTAGTCTGCTTTTTCGGTTCAAGTTTATTATGCGACAGATAATNNTTTTTTTTCGAAAAGTAACTCTAGTAGAAGAATTAGATAATCTTTGTGGGATATTGATAGATTCATCCGATCTGGTGATTGCTTTCTTTTGAGACTTAAATAGATTTTCTTCTCCTTAGACCCAAGCAGCGCGTACCCCCTTTCTCACTAAAACAGCAGCGCTAATGTAGACAGAAGACAACTGTACAATAACAAGTCAGTCTCTCTGTTTTCCTATGACTTTCGTGATTTTCCTCTGTTTTATTTATTCCTATTTCCTTTTTTTGTGCTAGTCTCTCCATTACGGACCTATAATTGACATTTTCTGATTAGCACTGGCTGACCCCAATTTCTTGGCACTGTTCCTTGACTAACAGAGAGCTATCCTTTCGTGGAAAGCCGTCGTTCACAAGCAAATGTGCGAAAGTCTTCTATCGTATATATTTCTTTTTTTTTTGGGTACCCAGAAAACGGATTCGGGGACCCAGAAAACGGGTGTGGGAAGAGAGTGTATTGGAATGTGAAACATTACTCCCATTTCAGGTTTTTATATTAAGTCCATGTTGCACATTATTCTGATACTTTTCACCCTTCATGTTGACAAGCTGCGTCACTTGGATAGAGTGTGCAGTTCTTCTTCTTTCGAAAATTTGATTGAATTTCGATAATTCCATGACGAACAGGGGTTTCATTATATTTTAGGTCCAGTCGGCAACGTTTTCTGGACCAGGAAGTTTTATTGTCGGAATTGAATTTCGAAGTGAAAAGCCTCGCAAGGGACAAGGATATTCTGCAAGAGCGATGTATCGAGTTAGAGAGGAAATACAAAAAGGCGAAAGCTACAAGTAAAGAGTTCGAGAAAATCATGGAAGCGGTATGTAAAAGGATGCTTCCTCTTATGATGTTGCTGTGATTTCCTTATAGGCCGATCAGTGCTCGTCATTGGTACCAGATTCGCCATCATTACTAGATCGATCTCGAAAAAAGTATAGATCTCCATCCAAAAAAGACGAGCGGGACGATTCGTTACAGGTAAATTTGTGCTTTCAATGTCAGAAAATGAAGTTGCTCTTCCTCCCCTCCCCTCCCCTC